GAGAAAGGCATCAGCCACGACATGTTTAAACGACATAGCACGACTGGAATCTTCGAGGACAATTTTCCAAAACTTCCCAGTCGATTGTTCATGTGTGGAGATATGCTAGTCTCTAGCCAAAACTTGGCACGCGTCCCAGTCTGCTCCAGACTGATGGTCCTCCGCTCAACTACCCATCAATCTACTGGCATCTTCTTTTCTTGACTATGCACGGCATTTCTTTCAAGGTCATCTACAGGTCAGCCCTAACTGCCATACACATTGGTTTCAAAATCGGTAACTGCCCTTAACAGCATGACATTCCATCACCTCTTGTGTGATATGCTTATCCAGTGTCCCCTTGTTGGGAAATTGATCTGGTCATAAGGCCTAAACTAGCTTCTCTAGAGGCTTTCCGGTCCTTCCTTTGAACCTTAAACAATGCCTGCCTTACACACACCCGTGTCAGGTTGGCCTTTCTCCTGGAAATGGTTAAGTCCTGAGAAGGGAGCAAATCATAGGCTCTCTCCTTTGCCGAAGAATTTCTATTTTGGGAGCCACATGATGTTCACCTCATTCCTTCGATTGGCTTCCTGACAAAGGATCAGACTCCCCTACCTGATCCGTTTCATATCTTTACACTCTCCGCCTCCTTACATGTACATCCTGGAGATGATGCGGATAAATTTGGGAGGCCGGTTTATGTCCTGAAGTGGTTCCTGACTAAAAGGATAGCATGAAAGGGCCGATATTAACCCCATCGCTTATCACTTTCATGAGACCACACCGTCCAGCGGTGTCAGTAGACTATTGCCTGCTGGACGGCTTCGGCCATTAGATTTGCTAATCCAGTCTGGCTATTAACCACTTGCTGCTGGATGGATTTTTCTTGAGCAAGACAAGATGCCGCCTCATTTTCAAGATTTTCCGTTTTCAAAATTCTTCAAAAATTTATCATTTCATTTAATGGCCGTCCATACCAAAATGAAGGACTCTGTGGGCACTATGCTAAAGCTGACAGGTAAAATTCATTGACTCCTCAATATATCAGCCAGGCTTGCAGCCTTGGAAAAAGAGCCCAGATTGTGTGTTGTTACGTAAGATTCTTTTTGTCCCGAAACCGGCACAGTGCACTGCTGACCTCTTTTCAATAGGGGCCAGATTAGCGTGCAGCGGTGCTGTGTGGATCATCCTGCAGTGGTGGAGAGCTTTTGTCCCCAGTGTTAATCCACTCGCTCTGAATGCCTCAAACTGTGTTATACTGTTTCAAAACAAGGCTGGATTATCTCCACTATTGAGAGCGAAAAAATGTCAGTAATGCCCAGCAGCTCAGTCTTTTGTGCTGAGCACGGTCTTTTGTTATAAGGCCCAACTCTTTTGTCCCAGTTCCGGGCTCCCCGGCTCTGCATATAAAGCCTGTGTACTCGAAAACAGTGCTACTATGCATATGTAGTGACTGCTTGAGTAGGTAGAGTGCCGTAGACTCCTTACCCACATTAAGTGTGGGTTGGGTCTACTAGAGAATACCTACCCAAACAGTCCTCTCCTGCCCATCCTCCCCACTCTGGCTTCGATCTTTTTTAGTCGCTTTCGAAAAGAAGGACGATCATGGCAGCGAGGCTGTGCTGCATTGTGGGAGGTCAGGGTGCACCACAGGTGATCAAATCTTTTCAGCGAATGAATAATACACACATGGGAAATTTGCATATGTAGTGTCTGTTTGGGTAGGTATTTTATAGTAGACCCGACCCACAGTTAATGTGGGGAAGGAATTTCCCACTACATCCAATTGTGCTTGTGTATATGATACACAATGTTAGCCAATCTCCAATAGTCACGCCGCCAACTCCCATATTAGGCCAATGATGTCATAAATGTCCATGCAAAAAAAATTTGTCGCTCTCCAGCGCGCGACAAGATTTGGTTCGCGCTGTGGCCCAACTTGCCTTTTGTTGATGTTTGATCGAAGAAGTAGTGTGAATCCATTGTAATGGAATTTGGCCTATCTCTAAGTTTTTTCAAATCTAAAATAACAAAATACTGTGTCCCTTTCAAAAAAGACTGATGGAAAATCGCCCCTTTGGCCAAGTGGGCGCCATCCTGGGAAAGAATGTTGACTTGATACCAAGGTTCTTCAAGGTTCTTCATGGCTTTTGATGTATTAGAAGAACCTTGAAGAATACTCAATTTGATCTTGTATCTTGTAAAAGAGGAAACTCCCGTTGGAGCATGCTTTTTTTTCTCTTTTCACATATCCTAATATCATCATACGATCGTTTTGTTGAGTCAAACATGGTCCAAACGCTGCTTTTGGTTGGCAAAACGTGGAAACTGTCACACCTCCAATGGTAACTTTCTCTGGATCTCCTAAACTAACTTTGGGGAAACAAAAAAAATTATGTTCACATCAAAGTTGCTCATGGATGGGATAGAGAGGAGATTCATTGCTTATATTAATGTAGTTTACACACAGAAGTATAAGGCACGTTCGTAGTGTGCTCTTCGATGTTTCAATGTGTATTGCATGTGTACATGTACGTATATTTGTATGCTTAATGTCTTCATTGTACAGTGCATTTGAAATATCTATATGAAGTTTGCGTTTTATAAATGAATAAACTATTAACTAACTTTAGAAACTATGTGTACTTGTCCGAACCGAACCGAAGTTCAGCAAAAAAATTGCGAACCATGTCCGAACGGTACTCAAACCGAACTTTGGCACCTGTTTGCAGCACTAGTGACTGAAAACCAATTCAGCATGTGTGTCACATGCGTCAGTTATTAGGAGACCATACACTTGAGGAGAGCATTTTGAAACAGTTGTTTTTACAAAGACTCCCTACAAACACACAACTTATTCTTGCTACCACAAGCGATACTGTCTCTATTGATCTGCTCGCTACTGTTGCAGACAGAATTTCAGAAGTTACACCATCTGTGGGCCAAATTTCTGTTGTAACAGCTGTCAATTCCTCAGACTCGGCAGAGTTCTTCGAGGTCTTAGAATTATAAAAAAAAGTTGACCAGTTGGCAAAACGAGTTGAGGCTTTACAAAATCGATTGAGCAACAAGCCTAGTAGCCGATCTAGTAGCCATAACAGTCGTGGTCGGGGCAAAATGGTACAATTGTCTGACAAAAGCTACAAAAGTTGTACTATTTGTGTGACAAATAGGTCTACAGGAAACCATTTCTTAGTTGATATCTGAGCTAAAGTGTTTTTCCAGTTACGGCTTCTGAGAAAAATAAATCTTTCAAACGTACCTTACTAGCAACAAGTAAAACACCAATTAAGCCCTACAGTGAGAAATTACTTACTCTCACTTTGGGACTAAAATGTACATGTACATTCAGATGGGTTTTTGTTAAAACTGATGTTAACCAATCCTTATTAGGTGCAGATTTTCTTGATAATTTTGGATTATATTGGATATAATTTATTATATTGGATATAATTTTGGATTCTAGATGTTGATGGCAAACTTGACGCTGTTAGCATCAGTAGGTTTAAAATGGTGTATCTGGAAGACAAAATGACCAACAGTGGAGAAACCTTGAGGGAATCTACTACAGTTGGAGAGAAACAAAATCCAAATCAGTCCTTGACTAGAAAAGAAATAATCACTCGTTCAGGCCGGAAGGTTCACTGGCCTAAACGATACATCCAGGTTATTGAAGATCAAATGTAAATATGTATAGTAGTCATTTTTATGCCTACAGCAGTGTGGGGGGGTTGATGTACATGTAGTAGCTCATATCTCTTGGGGATACTATGTCAGAAGATGACAGCCATCACCACTTGATGATTTGTCGTGGCATGGAGAAGCTACGTCAGTAGTCCACAGTCATCACCCGGTAGTTGTGCTAGAATAAATGAAGTCTGGAGCTTTGCCACAACAGAGAAGACTTGTCTATGTGTTTGCTTTGAAGTTTGTGTGAGTTTGTATACCTATTCAAATCGGGGACGCATAACAATCGGGGACAATAGGGTCCACGGTTGCTGAAGAGTCCACAGTTGGAAAACATGTACAAAATGTGTAGGAGATCTTCCGAAAAAGTTTGAGTATGAACAAAAAGAGGAACAATAGGGAGTCCACGATTGAAGGCGTTTACACACTTGTGTGTGTGTGAGTTTGTTTATGCATTCAATTGGGGACCCTTAACAATAGAGGACAATAAGGTCCCCAATTGCCAGAGGGTCCCCGATTGACAACTGTGTACAAAACATATGGTTGGTCTTCTAAAAAAGTTAAAGTACAAACAAAAGAGGAACAATAGGGGGTCCCCAGTTTACGTGTGTGTGTGAGAGTGATCAGGAGCCTGTCGTGAATCTTGATGATTGACATACTGTGGTCTTCAACCGCAGGGCTTGATATCATCGGTCCAATCACGCTACCACAGATCAGGACTGATTTACCCGGAGTAGAACTTTGAACTCCGGGATGCATTAGCATTTGACCATGTGCACGTCGCAATATTTTCTCCACAGCTGGCTATCTGGGTCTGCTGTAGTCCTTATACCGTAGAGGGTTGGTGGGTTGTGATAGTATGCAGCAGCTTGTTTGCCATGGGTTCCATGTGTAAGGCCCAACAATCTCCCTTGTGCCGAGACCACCATAGAGAAGGCTTTCATAAGAACGCGTGTGTGTGTGGGTAGGACTTAACAGGGTTAAGGGGACAATTTCTTTTGTTAAGCATATTGGGACCGAATTGTAGGGACATTTCTCTGTCCCTGTAGTATTTTCGGTCTCCACAAAATAGTTCAAATTTTGTGTTTGTCTCCACAATTATAGAACAAGTAAAGTGGGTGGGTGGATGTGTGTGTTTGTGTGCAGTATTCCCTTTCAGGCACATTCACTATGAACAAAAGAATTTTAAGTGTTTCTTATTATTCCTCTTTCTATATGTGTTAAATTGAAAAACAGTTTACTGTTGTGACAAAAGTAAATGAAATCAAATAAGCTGTTTGAAACTCTTTTTTTCTTAATTCGCATTTGTATTTTTTACTTTGGACATCTAGATCGTATTGGCAGTGAGTTCTGGAGTCAGCAAGAGAGAATAGGAGATGATTTGTCTGGAATTCAGTAAGTCACTCTAGTGTGCTTTTATTTAGTGATTATGAGGCATTTATTTAAGCATATGATAGAGGTTGGCTAAGTACTGCAATTCGCTGTTTTTATATGTGTAATGTTTTGTATTGTTTGTTCATTGGTGGTGGTTTTTTCAATGCTATGGGTGCGATGTCTTTTATTTTAATTCCCTTACTGTAAACTATGTGGTTTGTATATCATCCAGGTGTTTTAATCATTCTTATACCCGTTTGCACTGCATATTTTATGTAACTGTCCTCTCAGGATTTGAATGTACATTTCACTCTTAAATTAGATTATTAAAATTGAGTAGGTATTTAAAATAACTGTTTTTACAATTTTATTGATTCTACACCAGGAGAAAAATTTAATATCTGTTTTGAACGAATACGATTAATAAAATATATAACTGGGAGCGCAAACAGCCAAAAGGTGAGTTTTTGTGGGCGGGGAAACACATGATGTTTTTATTCCTGTGGCTGTCACAATAAAGGGGTAAACATTAAATTTATGATGTTCTTGAAATGGTTACGCTGTACGTACATGTATTTATTGTTATTTTGAAATACTTCACGCGAACTAAATATTTTCTATTTCTGTAACCCTTTAAAGTTCATGGTAAATTGAGTTATGGTGAAATTTAGTCACACACGAAAGCCTAAGCAGGTTTCACACTATGCTGCTACCTAGGTAATGGCAGGATTAGCAAAATTTTAACGCTGTGATTTGCTGGGGTAATTTTGAGTGTTCACTCTGCACTTCTCGGGGTCAAAAATTCTCTGGGTTAACTGTCGCAAATATGCCATTTCATTGACTGTTGGGCTTAATTTGTTCATGGTTGTGCCACCGGTCTATACTGCTGAGACTGGTACCTTTATGGTGCGATTATTGTGGTTTGGAAGCCACACATCATTCTGATGGCATGTAAATGCTTAGTGGGTTCCTTCTGGGCCTTGTAACTATGAAAAACTGCAGAGAGAAGGGTCCATCTGGATGAGGGGGGTTCCAACAGCAGCAAAGCATAACCCCAATCCTCCCCCTTACCACCATGAAAAACCACAGGCATGTGTCAACAAACTTCAGAGAGACAACATCACTGTTGACGTTGATGTAAGCCAGGCCCAGAATCACCAGTGGCCAGTGATGTAAATAATCCCATTGGGCACCTGGCAAGATGTTTGTCATATGGAACTTGGCCAGGGGCCAGCTGGAATTTTTTTCCTGGCTCAGGGTATACCCTAATGTTAAAGGTGACCCAACCAGGTTGTTATGTGTGTGCAGAGGTAGCATTAGATGGGAGGTTATTGCATTTGGCAGTCATTTTTTTTTTTTACATTTTCTATGAGAGTTTCTATGCAAGGCCTGAGTAATTTCTCACCTTACTCAGGAGGTGGGTTGACCAACCAATCTCAGCTTGTGGTCTTAAGACAATTCTCTGGGCTACCTTCAATAGTGTGAATGTTCCCAGATTTTCTTCGACCCTGGGTTGTTCATCAAGTTTGAACAGCACAGCCAGTGAAATGTTGATTTACAGTCTTAAACACAGGACGTACTCGACACAATTCAGTACATGTAGTAGTACAATTGTTCACTGCCAGTGGAGGGTTGGATGTTGGAGGTAAACAGTGCATGTGTTATCTGGGTTGCCTTTCTTGCAGTGTGAACATGGTTACAAATTGCCTGGATGTAAGCCTACTTTATAATCATTGCAATGTAGACACAGCTTTTAGTAGTCTTAACTATGAAATTGTGAAGATAAGCTCTTGGATGCAAGCAAACATACTATGTGTTAATGTATGCAAATCAAATTATGTTATTGTTTCTTTTTTCTGTTTTCTTCTTTTTATCATAAAGAGAAATCTTCACGTGGGCTTTGGCAGAATGACAATGTTCAAAGTCAGTTTAATTGAACATGGTACCAGCTTCAGGAATAAGTTACGAATCCGTATGAAAACATCTCGGACACTGTCCATATTTATCTCAAAACTGAGAGCGCAGCTTCCTATTTTTTATGTATAAGGCCATATAAAAAAATTATTGGTGAGTGTCCTTTTTTTTTCAAATCTTGGGGAGGGAGGGCTTTTTTCAGTTCAACATACATCTTTGCTGGATTGGAAAAAAATTAAATAAAGAGAAGTTTCCTCATTGAAATGAATTTTATTTATCTTCTTTATGAAAGGGTTTTACACAGGTGAGTAATTCATCAAAAAAGACGACATGCAATGCAATAAACCACATTACTAGTAATGCATGTAGGATCCCCACGTATTCTGTAGCTACGGGCTGTTAACTATGTAGGGGCAGGTGTTACATCTGGGGCGCTTTTAAGGGGAATTGCTGCCTGCTTTTGACGCCTTAAATTCAAACCCAGCCTCAAGCGTATCAACATCTCATCGGCTGAACGCGAAGCACTTAGATCTCTTAAGAACGATGATTCCATCGTCATTAAGAGGGCGGACAAGGGTGGTGCAATGGTGGTCTGGCGTAAGGACGTGTATGTCGCTGAAGCGGAACGTCAACTGTCTGTCATTGTGTAAGGTTGACCTCGATCTTACACAAGAGCATTAAGATATTGTTGCTAGCACTGTCCAAGGTTTCATTGACTCTGGTGAACTCCCCTGTAAAGCAACCAAACTAGTTGTTCCCAACCCACACACGGGCAGTCTTCTACTTGCTACCCAAATTCACAAATCCGGAAATCCAGGCCGCCCCATCATGTCTGCTTGTAGTTGTCCCGCTGAATTGATATCTAACTTCCTTGACACCATTCTAACACCCGTTGTCAAAACGCTCCCCAGCTTTGTCAAGGTTAAATCATGCTCTATGTCTGTTCGATGAATTTGGGTTCCCAATTCATCCAACTTTCTTTTCACCATCCCCACGTGGGTGGTTTGGCTGTGCTCAAACACTACCTAGATCTTCGCCAGACTCAGGTTACCCTCCAGTTATCACAGATGCTGCCTTCAACACCGTATCTTCAATCCCACGTAAAACGGCTCTGAAACCCACTGGGGCCAAGCAACGTGATCGCGTCCCCCTCATTCTCACATACCATCCTCGAAACATCCTGGTACGTAATATTCTTCTCAAACATTTCCTTGCACTCGGAAATGATGCAGCTGCAGCTCCCATTTTCGTCGAACCCCCTCTTTGCGCGTTCAGGCGTGGTCGTTCTGTTGGAGACACTTGTGCAGTGTGCGCCAACAAACACCTGGTCTCACTGTTGTGCAACACTTTTGCGCGCCGCCACATACCCTCGGTGACGTAAGCGTCTGTATTCTGCGGAAAGCGTCATCTGATGTAAAGCGTAAGGAACTGGAGCAGCGCGTCATTTTTTAACTTGGAACACGGCATCCAGGGGGAATGAACGTGGATTTTTCTGTGTTCATTCAGAACTGAATCTGCTTGCCCTGAAGAAGGTACTCAGTTACGGAAAGCTTGGCAATCACATATTTCAGAGCACTGATTTAATATTATATTCTTGTCGATATTCTGATCAC